TCAGAGAAGGTTGAGTCCTAGGGGAGAAAGGCTAGAGAAGGATGGGAAACGTCCTAGCTAGGTCAACAAAGCCAACCAAACATGGATGTTCAGAGCTGTACTCAAGGCAACCAATTGTGAGTTAAGCCAACCACGAGTCAGCTTGTCTTCCCACTTGCACCCTCTTGCAAGCTGGTTCCAGGGAGACCACACTTCTCAAAAGGAGAGCTGTAGAGTCCCACTTGACCACCTGTACTTCTTGTCTCATTCTCTGTCCCTGCACTATTGTCATGACAACAATGAAAGGGTGGCAAGGGAAATGCTGCCAACAGTGCACCATGACTACGGAACAGTGCATTTCGGCAGCTGTCACGCAATGCTCAGATGTTGGATCGTTCTGACACTTGGTGACCACCTGCACAGCGAGGCGAAGGACAGCCAGACCGAATTTCAGACTAATCAGAGCTCGGTAGACGTGTCAGCAGCCGAAATGGTGAACTCGAGTTTTACCAAAAAGGAGTAACACACACTTCCGGGATGCCATAAGTCTTGAAACATAAAATGTTGTCATGCCTTGGTAACTGCTTAAAAAACTCTGAAACTTTGAGGTTTTGAAGAACACACGTTGAAAAACCTCCCCACAAAATTCCAGAAGCTGAGCAAGCGTGTAGGCCGAATGGGAGTGCGATGACTGTGCCACTGTAACGTGTTGGCACAACAGGGGGAAGGCCAAGGAAACACATGGAATGGCGCGGGAGGAGAGCTTGTCCGCGGAAGAATCGCGGTCTCCGGCAAGGAGACACGGGGCCAAAGGTTGAGCTGATGCGCAGCGTACCGGACCGCAAACAGCCATAGAAAATGGGGGGCATCTTCATGGATCATGGAGGTACGAGCGACCTCCATAACTAAGCCAATGTGGCACTCAGCAACCCCATTCTACTGCGGAGAGGCCGGAAGCGTGAACATCTGGCGAATGCCCTCTCCACGACAAAAGTCCCGCAAGAGGTCGGAGGCAAACTCACCACCTTTGTCAGAGTGCAGATGCAGGACCGGGAAGGTCCGTGTCGAACCGCTCGCGAAGCTGGAGACGGACAGCTCGGATCCAAGGGATCAGAACATTAGGGACCTCCCCCTTGGTGCGCAAGGGGAATATCGTGGTGTAACGCGAGGAGTCGTCAACAACCAGCAGAAAGTATCGTTCGCGGCCCTGTTCATGGGCACGGGCTGGGCCCCACACGTCCATGTGGAGAGTCTGCAGGGGAGCAGTCGACGGGGGAAACGAGGAGGAGTTAAGAGCGGCGCGCTGCCACCCTCGACACAAGGAAGGCAGGGAGGGGCAGGGAGCACCACTCCGAGACGCCCCACGGTGAGCGTACTGCTCACGAAGCTGCTGGGGCATAAGGGTCTCGCGCGGACTCCGCTGCAGCTTCATCTGGCCACCACCAGAAGCTCCCCTATGAACAGCTCCACGGCGGCTGCCACTACGGCCACCGGCACTACACCAACTAGCGTACCACTGACGAAGCTGCTGGGGTGTGAGGGTCTCGCGCGGACACCGCTGGAGCTGCAGCTGGCAACTGCTAGAAACTCCCCACCAAACAGCTCCACCAAGACTGCCACGACGGCCGCCGCCACCACTCCCAATGCTGCCACCACCGTCACCACCACTCCCACCGCTACCACAAAGAGACGACATAGCGGGCAAAGTAAGGAGGTGTCCGACCAGTACAGCAGCACGCAGAGAAGGCAGTAACACGAGCAGCAGCAGTAGCAGTAGTAGCAGCAGAGCGGCTTGGTAAGGCTAGGCTGCAGCACCTCCAGCACTCCTAGCAGCACCTCTAGCACTCCTAGCAGCACCTCCACCAGCAGCAGCAGTAGCGCGAGCAGCAGGGCGGATCGGGTTGGGCAGGGCGGCTGGGACTGGGCGGCACGGCTCGGCCTGGGCGGCGCGGGCAGCAAGGCGCACGCTGTGCAGGGCAGAAGGGCGCGCTGGATGCAGTAACGGTGGCGCGCGGCTAGCAGGGCGGCGCGCGGGCAGGAAAAGGGTGGCGTGCGGGCCCTAGGGTGACGCGACGGGCAGGGCAGGGACGGCGCGCGGGCCCTAGGGCGGCGCGCGGGCAGGAAAGGGGCGGCGCGCGGGCCCTAGGGCGAAGCGACGGGCAGGGCAGGGCGTCGCGCGGGCCCTAGGGTGACGCGACGGGCAGGGCAGGGCGGCGCGCGGGCCATTGTGTGACGCGACGGGCAGGGCGTCGCGCGGGCCTTGGGGTGACGCGACGGGCAGGGCAGGGGCGGCGCGCGGACCCTAGGATGATGTGACGGGCAAGGTAGGGCGTCGCGCGGGCGCTAGGGCAACGTGACAGGCAGGGCAGGGCGTCGCGCGGGTCCTAGGGCGACGCGACGGGCAGGCCAGGGAGTCGCGCGGGTCCTAGGGCGACGCGACGAGCAGGGCAGGGCGTCGCGCGGGTCCTAGGGCGACGCGACAGGCTAGGCAGGGAGTCGCGCGGGTCCTAGGGCGACGCGACGGGCGGGGCAGGGCGTTGCACGGGTCCTAGGGCGGCGCGACGGGCAGGGCAAGGCGTCGCGCGGTTGGCAGGGAGGCGCGACGGGCAGGGCAGGGCAGCACGCGACCAGCAGGGCGGCACGACGGACAGGGCAGGCAGGCGTGCGGCCAGCAGGGCGGCGCGACCGGCAGGGCAGGGCAGCGCGGCAGCCAGCAGGGCGGCGCGCGGCCAGGGCAGGACAGCGCGGCACCCAGCAGGGTGGCGCGCGGGCAGGGCAGGACGGCACGGCAGCCAGCAGGGCAGCGCGCGGGCAGGGCAGGGCAGCGTGACTGGTGGGGCAGCGCGATGGGCAGGGTAGGGCGCTACGAACAGGGTAACGCACTACAAGCAGGGAACTATTCGGTGGGCCCTACAAAAAACGGTTCTGGAACAGGACCTGCTTTGAAACCATGTCAGAAGACTAAGCGAGGATGGTGAAACTAACAGCATGCAGGAATACAAGTACCAAACCCTAATTGGGTTGTACCCCATATGGGCTACCCCACTACAGCCTACACAACATGCATCATACAAGTTTGACAGCATGTGCTATTACAGTGACTACCATAGCAAGGAGGGAACCTCAGGGAACGAGGTTGGGTGCAAGTATGGAGATCGAAGAGCTGAAGGCGACGCGAGGAGCCTCGGCATCATTGATGTTGACCGAACGTGCAGTGTCCGGCATTCGGGCTATAGTCGTAGCAGTCAGACCCGATAAGGAATCTGGGAAAATTCTTTACAAGGGTGCGCTGTACATTACATTGATACCGAATCCTCTGTAGCAAAGATTTTCCTTGCGAAGCCGCAAAATGGTGCGACCATTCAGAAATCAATCTCACCACCTTTTGATGCGTAGTCAGAATCGAACCAGCGGAGACACATACTCTGATTAATGCCTGAAGTATATATTTAGTGTTTTTGGAAAAAATTGATACTGTCATTATCGGTGTATGAAGCATTTTGCTATATGAGTAAGGGTAGAGCTGGCTTGAAACCCTGCTTAATCAGGGTGGGCCAAAACCAATTTCGGGCCCTGATGCAGGGCGGTTCATTTGCTACTAGTTTTTGTTGCATGTCATTTACGTAGATTGGACCGCGCTTGCTTCAACTTCTCGTCACACGGTTCCCCGAATTGATCAGTATAGTATGACTAACGAGAAAAAAAAAATCAGTGGTAATAAGTTTTGTTTTACCCTGTAAGAGAGATGACGACGTGATGCAGATCGAGGCGACCTGAGACAGATTGCATCGATTTGCGCGATCCACAATTTCCAAGAAACCCTAGACCAAGGTTGCTTTTGGGGCTATCGGAGGCAATCTCTCGATCACGGTCGATATATCTCTCGATTTCGATCGATTGCCTCAATCTGATGCAATCAATTGCAATCGATAGATTGGGTTTCTTTAGGACATAGGCGAGCTGTAACTACCGCTAACGATGTTTGATTCTACTAGCTGCTACACTTTATCTCGCGACTAAATGGGGCTACAATGCAAACGGGCGATACAGACGTCCGCTACATCTCGCCAACTTTGATGTGGACAGGACGTATGACTCGCCTCGAAGGCGCGAACCAGGTTTCACAGAAAATTGTGGTGGCAGATCGCGCGGCTCGGAACGCGATCGCTGATTGTGTCAGATCAGGGCATTCACACCGATCTGATCCAGTCGACCATCGATTGCCTGATATTGCCCTGATCTGCACCACGTCCTAAGGACGTGTCACGGTTCGCCTCTGATTGCCCCGATCAAAGTTGATCAATAAATTCCGGGAAGCTAAGGTGGCGATTTCAGGCAATCGAGGGCAATCACTTGATCGCATCAGTTGATCGCCCCAACTCGATCAACCGCCTAAATAAGCCCAATTAAGCACATCCCCACACAATCACCGACGATCAGTTGATTGCATTGGCTTGGGGTACCAAGCGACGCTATCAACAAGTTACGGTGTTTTGCTTAGTTTCGTAAACCTCTCGCTCAAACAAAACCAGCCTGGCGAATTTTCTGAACCACCCTCTTCAGGGTTTCTGGGCATCTTTTTATGCGAAATTACATAGAAACATTAAAATTTGATACGCCAGGCTGAGGACTTCGCCCTCGCCAAAGTGGGCACGAAAGTGTTTGGAAAGGGTGATACGCTTGCCAAGCACCCTCAAAGAAAATTCGAGGAATTTCTTTTCTGATCGGGCGGCGCGAGCACAGTAATCGAGGGCACCCCGATCCGATCAGACCCGACCAGATCACAGCCGATCAGAGGCAAACCGTGACACGTCCTAAATGAGATGTCATCGTCGGGCGCACTGCGGACTGCGCGACACGATTGAGAAGTAAGCATGGTCAAGAGAAACAAACAATTGCAAAGGTAACAATATCAATAACAATTCCCTGAATGTTGAGTTTTTTCGATCTGGGTCCTCTGATGCTGCGGATCACAATTTGCGTTTTCCTCCCTCTACACCTCCAACCAACACTACACCAGCATGGCGTCCCCTACCACCCCGTCCCTCCTCCACCAATCTCAGCTGCCGAATACCCCTCCTCACATCGGGCCACCGGAGAGCCGCTCGCAACCCTCAGCTCCTCACGACAACGCTCCCTCCAGGAAGTTCCTCCTACCTTACCCTGTCTCTCCTCCCACTTCTCGGGCTATCGCCTCTCCCGCCAACTCTCTGTCATCTCTCGAACAGCCCCGCGATCTGCTCTCCCTGTCGCGCCAAGCTTCGTCAAGCTCCTACGCTTCAAGCGCCCCCACTACGTTCAATCGTATCCTTCCTTGTTTTCCTCTACTGCCACCTCCGGCTCCGCCATTACAATGGCTTGGAAGCTCGGCGCGCCGTCTAGGCCGCCAGTTTCAATTTTCACGCTATCGCGTTCGGACCCTCGAAAAGTCCCTGGTTTCGGGTCGCCGACTAGGCACCCACTCCTATCACCGTTCCTTAATCTCCTCGCCACGGCGCCTCGACTTACGCAGTCTCTCTGACACCCCCGTCTTTCCTGGTACTAATCTGCCCCCACGCCCTCCCCGTAGCCACCCGACCCCATGGCTGCTTGCCTGTCGTCTCCCTTTGCTTCCTCGCCTCCCTTGTACCCTCAATGTATCTCTAGGCCGTTCGCCCGCTCGCTCTATATTTAAAGGACCCCTTCCCTCTCCACTCTCTCATTCCACACCTCGTAATAATCTTCTCTCTCCCTCCTTGCAACATGGCTGAGCAGACTTACCACTCGGATATGACCATGTCCCTTGCCGAAGAGGAGGCCCTCGGTACCTCCGGGAAAGACCTCGCTGTTGACAGTCTGCCCGAAGGCATGTTCCACCAGCTCGCCAAACCCACCGACCTCCCTCGCTACGAAGAAACCGTGCATGGAGCCCGGCTCCAGCCACGCCCCCAACCCTTCCCCCTCCACCTCCACCGGGTCGGCCCTAGGGGTGCCTGCTTACTCCCCCACGCCCCTCGCAGCCGCCGCTCTCACTCCGCCCCCGATCGGCCTGGCGTCTCCGCAGGCCTTAGCTGCTGCAGCAGCCCCCAACTCCTCGGCCACCCGCGCAACTCCTACGCGTCCGTCGACGCAGGCTCCACCTTGGCTCCGGCGCTGCCCATCTCGCTCTTTGCCTCGCCCAATCCGGGTGCTCCCCCCCCGCAATCTGCGGCGCGCGCGCACGGACGCCGCCCCCTCGCTGCTTTTCCCTCTGCGCCGCCGCGTGGTAGTCACCGTCCTTCTCCCGAAAGCCGGGCTGGAGTCGTACCGATCTGAAATTCTCGCTGGTATCAATGCGCAGCTGTGTGGCTTTATGTTTGCTTCTGGCATTATCCCCTTCGTCGAGCAGACCGTTGGGGACCCCTACCGCGTGGCCCGCCGCGTGTATGGCCGCCTGCTCTTCTCATGGCCGTCGCAGGAAGATGCTGCGGCCTTCCGCAAGCTTTTTCCCCTCACCCTCAAAGTCTCCAATTCCCGCCCCCTGCTGCTTAAGGTTTTTGAGGATAGGTTTGCAGCCTTCACGGCTGCCAAGGCCGCCGGCGCACCGACCCTGTCTATCCGCAATATCCCTCTGGACTTTGACCCAGAGGACATCCACGCCTACCTTCTCGGCTCCACCAAATCTGATGGCTCGCACTAGCTGGCAGATTTGACGGACTTCCACCGTGCCTCGGACCCCTACGATGACACGTACTTCACACACCTCGCAGGGCTTCCAATCGCTACCCCCGACGACCCCAATTTCGAGCGCATCACATCCAAAATCCCGCTGGAGGAGAACAAGCCTCCCATGGTGCTCAACTTCTTCTGCCACGTGTGCGCTTTGTGCGCCAACAACCACCGCGCATCTGACCAAGAGGCTTTCGCTGCCCGCCGCCGGCAGCGCCTCACGAACCGCAATGTGATATTAGTTGCACAGCTGCAGAAGGCAAACGGTACGCTCCCCGCAAAATTTCCCCGAATACGCTATCCTATTTCTCCCCTGCCCCGCCGCCCCGGTCCCCCTGTGCCCTCCTTTCTACCCTCCATCTTGCCACCTCCCCCCCCTTGTTATACTGCTCCCCCACTTTCCCATTGCTTCAGCCCCCACCCACCCTACTCCTCCCCCCCCCTGCCCCATCTCCCTCTCCTCTCCTAGTGGCCGGGCCTCCTCAAACTCTTATTCCCATCACCCTCCTGCACTTTCCCCCTGCCTTTCCATCGCCCCACAGTCCATGTGCTCCACCAGATCACTCCCCCCCTCGAACCCACTCATAACCCCCCCCAGTCCATCGTCTCTCCCCCCCTTGCCCCCTCAACAGCCAGCCCCCTGCACAGGCACGTGCCTACCCCAGCCCCTCAATCCCCCCCTGCCCCAGCCTCTTCCCACTGTCTACCTGTGCAGCCCCAACCTTTGGGCCTCTTCCCCCACCTTACGCCCGCATCTTGCCCCACCTGTCCCCATCATATCCTCCCCACCCTTCTTCTCTATCCCCACTCCCGCCTCCCCACACCAGCACCCCCCCCCCCCGGGACCCCTCCTCGGCCTCGTCACCCCCCCCTCGTATGCTCTCTCACTATCTCCTTCCCCCACGGTCCTCAGCTTCGTCTGCCCCCTCTGTGGCTGGGTCTTTTTCCTACCTTGCCCGCTTCCTGGCTGCCCCCCCCCCTCCTGAGTACTCTCCCCCACGCAGGCAACATCCTGGGGAACCACGCCGCGCCGACCACCTTTCGCAACTACCCCGGCCTCTGTGGACGACAAGGTCGAAACATGGACCTGTGTGCTCTGCGATTTCACTTCCGACGCTGCCCTGGACAGCGCCATGTTTCACATTCAGTCCGATATGCACACCTCCCGCGTGAAGGCTACGGCCCACCGCCCGGCAGCCAAGGAGGCTTTCGGCCCCTGGCGCGCTCTCACGCTGCAGCAAAAGCCCTCAGGGGCTGCCTTCCTTCTTGGCTGAATCTAGCAACCTTGCTTGAACGTCGTGGTAGTGGAATTTGTTTTGCACCATCTTGGCTGTACCCCTTATTGGGCTTCGTCTTAGAGTATGACTTTCTGGATCGCTCATGCGAAACTGTACCCATCCTTATTATAACCCTGCACATACCAAGGCCAACCTGTGCCACCCTCTCTGAACCCAAACAATCAGCAATACAGTCAACGCACAAATCAATGCCCCTAGTAACACGCCAACTTACATATTCCCCCACCTCTAGCTTTAGTCTGCCCACCATCCTCTGCACCAGATTTAGCACGTCTCACATGCCCCGGCCCCCCCTCGAACCTGCAGGGGGTCTAGTTACCTTACCACACCATGCCTGGTGGTGCTCCAATCCCCTCCTCCTACTCTACGCCCCCGGCAGCTCTCCTCGCTATATCCTATTCCTAGCACGATATCAGCCGCTGACGAACTACCCCCCCTTGCGTGCCCCCCCAGTAGACACTACTGCCCTACGCCTGCCAGCCAAGCATTTCCGCGCCTCCAGCCCCTTCAGCCGGCAATACTCAGCTGGTCCTTTCTCATCACATCTTGACCCTCAACTGACAAGCTCTTCCCCCTCCCGTCTAACTCGTAACTGGAAACTCCGCCTCCGCATTAGCAAGTCATCACATCCCTTCATGTTTGCCTTCGGGAACAACAACACTGCGTCGTCTCGCATATGTGCTACAAAGCGGAAATGGAGTCTACTCCTCCCAATCATCTGTGCCATCCTCAAATAACCAAGCCTTTCCGACAGCCCACCTGGCTAATCTCCACAGCCCCCTTTTGCCGCCTGTTAGTCTCGTGGTATGGCTCGAGAGCTCTTCGTGCTAAACCAACTCTCATGAATCGGTCTCACACCCCACTTCCCAATCCTGCCCGGCCTCGGCTTCTCCCTGTCCCCATGACAGCTCGTAATAGCATCTCGCCGTCCGGCTCTCCCGACACGCCCCTAGGCCAAAAGCCCCACTAGAATGCGCATCCTTCCAGCCTCCCTTCGGTCCCAATCAATCTGCGCCGCTACTTCCTCCCCAGGCCGTGGACACGCACGTCCTCCCGTGCGGTGGCCTTTACGTCGTTGTCATGTTAACACACCTCCGAATCCTATGCATCAACGTGAACGGAATCAACGAGACTCGCAAAATGGATGAGCTTAAATCCTGACTCTCGCGCCTCCCTGCCTCCACCGATTTGGTCATTCTCATTGACACTCGACTCATCCTCAGAATCCCCAACCTTGACTTGAAATTCCGACCTCACGCCTCTGCCCACGCCCCGGCGCTGCTCTCGACTGACAACGCTACCGGGAGGCCCGCTCTCATCGGAGGCATCTCCATCCTCTCTTTCAACAAGGCCATCTCACTGTCCTCCCCGATCCCCTTTGCAGACAGCAGGCTGCTCACGGTACATCTCAACTACCTCCGTGAGCAAATCCGCCTCATTGCCATATACGCGCCCACACAATTCTACGAGCGTCGAATATGGTGGACCACCACGCTCGTTCCGGCACTAGAAAACCCCACCGGTGCCTCCGCGACCATGCTCGCCGGCGACTTCAACTCTGTCATCCTTCCCATTGATAGAAACCGACCCCTCAAAGATTACGAATGCCGAGAAGGAGCTTCCTTTGCGAAGCTCATGGACACCCACGCGCTGGTCGACACTTTCAACGAACTCTTCCCCTCAGCCACCGACATCTTCTCATTTTATGGCAGGCAACGCTTAAACTCAGTGACCCCGCCCACACTCTCCCGCCTTGACAGAATTTACATTTCCCGAGTCTTCCTTCCCCGTCTCGCCGCTAGTCCGTACATGCAAACCCGCACGACAATCACAGATCACATGTATGCCCCTCTCTTCTCGCTAGGTTTCACCAACCCCACGGTCGCCCCTCGGCCGTGGCGGCTCCGCCAACATCTCCTCATGCGCCTCCGTGCTGCACAAATCATCTATGCCTCCCTTGCGGCCTTCCCCTCCTCCCCTTCCCCGGACTCGTGGGACGGGTGGAAGCTCGACCTCACCCTTAACATCAAAAGATTCTCCAACCTGGAGAGATGCCGTGTTGATGGCACAATTGCACATCTGGAGCACACCATTGGCTCTCTACAGTCGCAAGCAACGTATACGCCTCTAGACCAAAACGAATCCTCCCGCCTAAGCCAAGCACGACTCCACTTGGCCAGATACGAAGCCTCGAAAGCCTCCGAGATTCCTCTCAAGGCCAAGCTGAAAATGGAAGGGCACAGAGAAATGGGAGTCTCCTCCCTCCTCTCCGGACTCAACTCGCGAATTAAAGGCTCGATCATCAATTCCCTCACCTTACCCATTGGACAGACAATCTCAGACCTACCCACCATGACTAATATGTGTTCTAGCTTCTTCCGGACCCTCTATAGTGGATGCAACCCCGCCACCCCTAACCCATCCTTCTGGCAACATATCCCTCCCTCATCCATCCGGAACCCCTTACTCTCCCGTCTCAGCGTTCCCCTCTCCCTAGCCGAAATCGGGAAAGCACTCCTCTCTCTCACACGAAGAAAACCCCTGGCCCAGACAGCCTCCTCGGGGAGCTTTTCCGACAATTCTCCCCTCGATTCGCACCGGCCTTCCACTCCTTGCTCTCACCACCACAGCCACTTTCCAGTCTCCCTCCGTCCATGCTGACCGGAAGAACGGTCCTTATCCCAAAAAGAGGGGACTCCTCGCTAGAGGAAAACCTCTGCCCCAACACCCTAATGAACGCTGATTACAAGGTACTTGCGCTATGCCTCGCTAACCGCCTTCAACTCATCCTCCCCCAGCTCATCCACCCATCCCAAACTGCCTTCATCAAACACAGGAAAATCGGAGACACCATTAACGATAATCTGGACATCATGGACTGGGCGGCCTTCTCCTCGTCCCCCCTTCCCGCTCTTACAGTGGATTTTCGCAAGGCCTACGACTTTGTTGACAGTTGCGGGCAGCAAAAGCTTCCATCCGTTTCACTGGCACGAGGTTTCATTTTCTTATCGCTGCGATGTTCGTAGGCACATCATCGAGCGGTTCCTCTACCTCTACATTACTAGTCGACTCCCTCCAGTGCTCCAGTGGTTTGCTATAGCACTAATCACGACCAGCAGTGAAAAGCGGCGCGCATGATGGTCGCCATGGCGACCTCGAGCCGGAAGCATCACGTGTGCCTCGTGGCGACGATGATGGTGCTCGCTATGCTGTCCAGCCACCTCCTCCCTACTGCTGCTGCTAGCATCACCATGCAGGCTGATCAAGGTGAAAGGCTACTAGTAGTATTACTAGTTGGCCACTGCCAAAAAACGAATGTACAAGGGTGAGACTGGGGTAGTAGTAACACTCACCTAGTCGGTCACACTGGGGTTTCAATTGGGGTTACCGCGATAACAGGAAATTTGCGGAAGTTTTTCTTTGGGTCAGTGCCTATCACGTCCAAGCGAGACATGGATTGATCCAATTCCACCTTCATCGTGATTCGCATCCTCCCTGGTCTTTCCACCGTCTCGCACACAACGTTGGGGAAAATGCAAGGTCTGGATTTGACAGAAGGTGCACCGTCTTACTCGTTTCTTCCCACCTTTGACCTGGCTGTACCACTGCCAGTGATGCCCTGCTCTTTTAATGGCATATTCCCCCTTCCCCCTTTCACCTTTCTCCTCTGTCCCCGCGGCCATCAGCCGCGGCGCTGCTGGCCATCAAGGTGGCCATGGGGCTCACCTTCACCACGTGGGCCACGTCCAATCCGTGCCACCTCGAGGGCGATGCCGGCTCGGCTGGCGAGTGGAGCGGCCTGAGCTGCGCCGCTGACGGCTGCGTCTTCATGATGTTAGTGCTGGCAGCAAATGCAGGAATGAATGCTTGTAACGCCTACCTCACACAAGGGTCCCAGGGCATGCTCTGCGCCCGAAGAAACTCTGTTTTCGCTCTGTGGTCTAGCAGGGCGTTATCCTTGTATACTATGTCATATCCTGTCTGAGTCACATTTTTTTGCTCCTACATGAGAAATCCTTGCGGCTGGCGAGGCAGCATGTGGGTGCTCGAGGCAAGGTAGGGAGCGACAGCAGTCCATCTACTAGATGCCTCACCGTTACCTCACTGCATCATATGTGTGTGTGCATGTGTGCAGCAACCTCGACTCTGCAGGACTCGTGCGCAAGAGCTTCCCATCGGACATCACGAAGCTCACGGGTCTTGGCGTTGTCTAAGTGCTCTATGCTGAAGAGCTGCCCTGAGAATCGCGTACTGCTTGCACTGCCCTAGTGAAGTGCAAGTTTGTTTGCTGCCGCAGTGCAACCCTAAACCCCAAACCCTTCACTGTGGAGTCAAAGCAACCTCGCATGCATGTTGTGATCCCGTACTTGCTCTGCTGCTCTCAAGTTGATGGCTGCCGTGTGCATGCCGCGGGCTGAGTGCATTCGTGTGACTTGCCGTGCTCCGTGTGCTGCGTGCAGGTGGATGCCGTGGAACTTCCTCGACGGCAGCCTCGCCAGCTACCTCAGGAACTTCTCCGCGCTCACCAACCTCAACACCATGTGAGTCTCGCCGCATTCTTATGGTGTTTGCAAGCCATCAATGTCACGTGAGGAGCTCGAGCTTGAGCACAGCAGCGCAGGCCACATTGTGGTGATAACGCAGCCCCTCTGACATTTCTATTATTTCCATTGTGCGTGTGTGTGCGTCCCCCATCCACCAGTGCTATGCAGCACATGTACTTGTCTGGGTCATTACCGAGTCTGCTCACGACTCTGCCCAGCCTCATCGGCATGTAAGTGCACACTGAGGCAACCTGCTCTGACTTGTTGTATATATGTGCAACCGATGAGACCTCCTCTACTCTCTCATGCTATTATTATTTCCCCCGTATTTCCATCGCTCTCACCCCCCTCCTTCTCCCCCATAAGTCGCAAGTGCTGCTGTTCTATTCTCTCACGCCTCGCCTCCAAGCAACCCTCCCTCACTGGCCCACACCCCACAGAAGCATTCGCTACAACTACCTGACGAGGTCGCTGTTAACGAGCATCACCAAAATCAAGTCGCTGGACCTCACGCAGAACTAATTCGTTGGCTCACTGCCCTCGGGCACCTGGTCCTACTGCGCGGCCGGCAGGAACTGCCTCGCAAGCGCCAGCAACTGCCAGAACCCAAGGCAGCGAGGCTCGTGCAACTTTTGTGGCAGTGCTGATGGCACGGGCACCCTGTGCGCATTGAGACAAGCGTGGATGCCAAGCGCGGATGCGAGGATCTTAGGAAAGTAGAACAACTTGGGGACTGAGCTTGCCGTGGCGTGCATTGACCAGCTCATCACCACGAACGCCAATGGCGGTCAAAGCCCCCTCTCTGCCTGCCTACTAATTTCTAATTCGGAGCACCCCTGCTTCAGGTGGAAAATGATTCCTTTCTACATGCCATGCTGCTCCATAGCCCCTCCATACATTGATATGCCTACCTAGCCTGGGAGTGATCAAGTTCTTTTCTGCCTCCACGCTTATATGATGCTCCTCACTTATCATCGTGCCTCTTTTCCCTCCCCTCCTCTATCCCTCCCTTCTTTGCCCTCATGCGGCCATCAGCGGTGGCGCTGCTGGCCATTAAGGATGCCATGCGGGTCACCTTCACCACGTGGGCCACCTCCAACCCGTGCCAGCTTGAGGGCGCCACCGCCAAAGAGGGCGAGTGGAGCAGCATCAGCTGCACCGAAGACGGTCGCGTTTTCATGATGTGAGTGCTTGTGGCAAGGCACGGTGTGGGTGCTGCAGGGTGTTTTGCTGCAGTCCATCTAAGTTTCCTCTCCCGCACCGTTTCCTTGTCTCACTGTAAGTGTGTATGGATGTGAGATGTGTGCAGCAACCTGGACTGCGCGGGACTCGTGCACAAGAGCTTCCCCACAGACATCTCCAAGCTCATGGGTCTTGGCGTTGTGTGAGTGCTCTCTGCTGCAGTGGAGGCCCAAGGATCACGTGCTACTGCGGTGCCCCGCATGCACGCGGAATCCCTGTGCAGTCCTCTAGTATGACCATTGGGTGTCTTGTTGGGCTACAGTGCCGCTTGTGTGCACTTCTGAGCGTAGTTGTGCGGTGTTGCTGTGTGTGCTGCATATGCTGCGGGTTGCTGAGTGCAGGTGGATGCCGTGGAACTTCCTCGACGGCAGCCTCGCCAGCTACCTCAGAGACTTCTCCGCGCTCACCAACTTGAACACCCTGTGAGTCTCTTCGGACTCTCGTGGCGCTGCTATGGGTGTGTTTGGTTGGTACCAGCTCACAACCACATTGGGTAGGTTGCAGTTGCAGCAGGCCAAGCTACACAGTGATACTAACACCAACATGATGTGCGTGCGTGTGTGTCCCCCATCTGCCAGCGCCATGCAGTATATGTACTTCTCCGGATCACTGCCGAGCGTGCTCACGACTCTGCCCAAGCTCATCGGCATGTGAGTGCTCAACAAAGCCACCTGCTCACCCTATCTGTGAATATGGCTGTACTTCTACTCCCTGCACTGTAATATTTCACCCCTCATCGTTCGAGATTATGAATTAGTTGCTGCTCTCTACCTTGACTCCTCCCTTACCATAAACACCACGTAACCGAGCCTGCTGTCCCACCCCGCAGGTCGCTGCGTTTCAACTACCTGACGGGGTCGCTGCCAGCGGCCATCACCAAGATTAAGTCGCTGGACCTCTACTAGAACTACTTGGTGGGCTCCGTGCCCGCGGGCACCTGGTCCTACTGCGACATAGTTTACAGCTACCTCTCCAGCGATGGCAACTGTAGCAGCTCGTACATGCGGGACTCATGTGGTACCTGCGGCAGCGCTGACGGCACGGGCACGCTGTGCGGAGCGGGAAAGGGGTGTGTAGCGGACTCGGAGGCCAGGATTGCGGCGAAGCAGACCAACTATGGGGGCGAAGTGGGGCTCATATGTGTTGACCAGCTGATCTCCATGGACTCTACTGATGGTCAGTGGCGCTTCCCAATCCCAATTCCCTTTTCATCAACCCAAACTCACTATATAATCCTCCCCTTGGTGCTTCCTGCTTCACTACCCCCTTCCCTCCCTCCACCCCTGCAAGCCATACCTGCCACTTGTTTCCCTCACCTGCCCTGTCATTATCACACGAGTTCGTTGTGCCCCACTACCCTGTCTTGCACCCGTCCCCGCGTGCCACGCCCTGCAGCTGCTGCCCTGCAGAACATTAAAACCGCGCTGGGGGTGACCTTTTACCACTTGGAGCACCGCTGCACCGTGCCGCACCGCTGGAGGCACCGTGGCCTTTGCGTGCGAATGGGCTGGCGTTTTCTGCACGGGAAGTGGCAAGATGTCCAGAATGTCAGTGCAACCTTGCCCTTCACCCCGCACTATCGCACCATGTAAACCCCACCTCTACTTCGCACACTGCCTGCCTGCATGCATTATCCAACCTCTGCCTGCCTGTGAGAGTACGACGGCTTATGCTGGCTTTTCTAGCTTGCCTGGACTTTATTATGCTATATCTAGCTTGGGTATATTTTATCATGCATAGATATGCTTGATTTCCTAGGTTAGGTGCATTCCTATATTTTATTATAGTTATAAAACCGAACCAGGTTACGTGTACCAAACTCAAGCCTATTCGGTTTCCACCGAATTGCTTTCTACCGAGCTCGGGAAGGTTCTGTTCGTGACGCTTCGCGACCCTCAGAACATTTGCCTAACACCTGAGTAACTGGCCTTGTGTCGAGAATATACATAGCCTCGTATTGTACCCAGGTGAATAATTCAATTCAAACTCTCTTTTCTGGGCTCGATCCTAGATCCTTACACTTGGTTATGAGAGCCTGTTTACACGCGAAGTTTCGACCACCTAAAACTAGCTTTTAAAACCGCGGGGGCTACGACGGAAAGCGCTGATTTCGGGTACGTAAACTAAATCCGCGCTATTTTTCAACGTTCCCCTCGAACTGGTTTTCGAACACCCCTCAGGTCCAGTGGCAAAAAGCTGGAATTTCGACCATCAGATCGATTCGAATCTCAACGGCCCTAAGAATTTCGACCAAAAAGATTGGAATTTGGAACGTCGGATCAACTTTCTTCTCAACGGCCGAGATCGGACGCGAGTTTCGATTGAAGGGGAATTACGCGACCTAAAGAATCAGCGCTCATAATTTCTACAGTCGATTCGACTCACAGTAAGATGACCAGCGCCAAGAATTCAATTATTTTCATCGCAAATCTTCCTGTAAATCGCCAAATGGATGAAAATGGTGATAATTCCGTACGAAAAATTACGGATTTACACACCGGCCTGGACTGTCAGAACATATATGTAGCTTATGCTGTTGTGTAGGCTACAGTGGGGTATACCATAGGGGGTACAACCCAATTAGGGTTTTGCTATTTGTACTCACTTCACCCATAGTTCATTCATTCTCGTTCTATTCTCCCCATGGTATCGAGCAGGTTCCCCCGTGGGAACTGTGCTTAGGGCCCACCACTTTTAAACTTTTTTTCTGCCCGGAGCGCGCTCCGGGCCCTCGCTCTCACTCTTTCGGCCTGCCCTGCGGCCCCCTAGCCGCCCGCGCGCGCCCGTTCCGGCCCCTAGCCGCTCGCGCGCCGCCCGTTCAGGCCCCTAGCCGCCCGCGCGCCGCCCGTCCCGGCCCCTAGCCGCTCGCGCGCCGCCTGTTCAGGCCCCTAGCCGCCCGCGCGCCGCCCGTCCCGGCCCTTAGCCGCCCGCGCGCCGCCCGTCCCGGCCCCTAGCCGCTCGCGCGCCGCCCGTTCCGGCCCCTAGCCGCTCACGCGCCGCCCGTTTAGGCCCCTAGCCGCTCGCGCGCCGCCCGTTCAGGCCCCTAGCCGCCCGCGCGCCGCCCGTCCCGGCCCCTAGCCACCCGCGCGCGCCCGTCTCGGCCCCAAGCCGCCCTGTGCGGCCCGCCCCGGCCGCGCTCTCCTGTCTCGGCCCCTCGGCGCCAGGACGCCGCCCGTCCTGGCCCCTCACCCGTCCCGGCCTCACACCGCCCGTGCGCCGCGCGTCCCTGCTGCACGCCGCCGTCTGAGGGGTGGCAGGTGTGTGGTCTCCCCTGCTTCTCCTCCTCCTTCGTCTCGAGCCGCCCTGCAGCCGAGCCGCCTCGCCGCCGAGCCGCTCTACACCCGAGCCTCCCAGCAGCCGAGCCGCCCTGCAGCCGAGCCGCTCTACACCCGAGCCTCCCAGCAGCCGAGCCGCCCTTCAGCCGCGCCGCCGGGTCGCCGAGCTGCCGAGCTGCAGTTGCTGCCGAGCCGCTCTGCCGCCGAGCCGCCCGAGTCGCCCGAGCCGCAGAGCCGCCGTGCTGCCGAGCCGCTGAGTCGCCGAGCCTACTCTACCCACCTATGGTGAGCCCATGCCCTGCTAGCACGCTGCGCGTCGCCTGCTTGCCTGCGTGCCTCCCTTTTTGGCTTGCCTGGCTGCCTGCCTTACTGCTGCTACTCCTGCTCCTGCCTCTACTGGTGGAGCCAGATGCAGCCCCATCGACGTCTGCGTGAGTCCCTCACGCCCCAGCAGCTGCGTGAGTGGTACGCTGGTTGGGGCTGTAGGGGTGGTGGCGCTACTACTGCTACCACTCCTGCTGCTTCTACTACTGGTGGCGGCCAGATGCAGCTCCCGCGACCCCCCCGCGCGTCTCTCACGCCTCAGCAGCTTCGTGAGTGGTACGCTCGGAGTAGAGGGTCTCTCAGTTCTGTTCGCTGCTCTTACGTGATTCTCACTGGTGCTCGGACTGGTCAGCCTTGTGGGACACCTGGTCATACACAGTCCCGCTGCTTCGCCCGTCTGAGCGACGCCTGGCGTACCGTGTTTGGCGACGAGGCTGAGCTCCCCGACTGGGTGGAGTAACTTAGGCAGAGGGTAGATATATTTGCTCTTGACTATGATGCTATTCTCACTGCCATGTATGCATTGCCTACTAGTGCTGACCGTGCCGGTCACCTGTGCGTACCGCCTGACCCGGGTATAGGACCTGCTGCTCTAGCTACTGGTGAGGCTGCTGCTGCTCTGGGTGCTAGTGAGTCTCCTGCTCCAGGTACAGGTGCGGCTGCTGCTCTAGGTGCTAGTGAGTCTGCTTCCTCAGGTGCGGGTGAGGCTGCGCTCTCAGGTACCACGTTGGCTTCGACCTCCCTCACCTTTACACTTGACTCTGGGGCTTCTCGCTCCTTCTTTCGGGACCGCACCACACTCACGCCGCTTGGTCGGCCTGTTGCAGTCTCCCTTGCTGACCCCTCTGGGGGTCCTGTCCTCGCTCACTTTTCCCCTGTCCTCCCGTGTCCGGCTGCCCCCTCGGGCACCCTGTCTGGCCTGTACCTCCCCTCGTTCTCGACGAACTTGGTGAGTGGTGCAGACCTGCAGGATGCGGGGGTTCACCAGTTCACTCCTGCGAGTCAGCGGGTGACCCACTGCACGGACGCACGCACAGGCCGGCACCTGGCCACGTTCTCGCGTCGGCCGGGGTCGAGCCTCTACACCCTGACCACTCAGTCTCCTCCTGTCCCTGCGTCCGGTCAGGTAGCTGCGTGAGGTCAGGTGTTTGCTGCAGCGTCCAGGTCTGGTCCTGAGTCTGCCCCCTGTTCGTGTCGCCTCCTGTCTCACGAGACTCTCCTGTGGCACCACCGTCTTGGCCACCCCTCCTTGCCCCGCCTTCGGGGCATGGCTTCCCGTGTCCTTGTCTCTGGTCTTCCCCAGTCTCTCCCTCCCCTTCCTTCGGGACCAGGACCTTCCTGTGTCCCCTGTGTCGAGGGGCGCCTCAGGGCTGCTCCTCACTCCTCCCAGTTTCCCCCGACAGAGGCTCCTCGCAGCAAGGGTGCTGTCACTGAGGTGCTGATCGACTGGATCCGCGAGGCTCGTCTCCAGCTCAGGAGGAGCTTCGGCTCGGACTTTCCTGTTCTGCGTCTGCACTCTGACCGAGGTGGGGAGTTCTCCTCTCGCCTTCTGCGAGACTACTGTCGTGCACAGGGGATCCGCCAGACCTTTACGCTTCCGGACTCTCCACAGCAAAATGGGATTGCTGAGCGCCGCATTGGCATGGTCATGGATGTCGCTCGTACGTCCATGATGCATGCGGCTGCCCCCCATTTTCTGTGGCCGTTTGCGGTTCGGTACGCAGCGCATCAGCTCAACCTTCACCCCAGGGTCTCTCGGCCCGCGATGTCCCCAGTGTTACTGTGGACGGGGAAGGTCGGCGATGCGTCTGCGTTCCGTGTCTGGGGATCTCGGGCGTTTGTCCGTGACTTGTCTGCGGACAAGCTGTCCCCCCGTGCTGCTCCCTGTGTCTTCCTTGGCTTCCCCCCTGACGCTCCAGGGTGGCAGTTCTACTTGCTGGCCTTGCTGGCCTTGTGTCGAGAGCAGCGTCTGGAGCACAGAACGAAGCACATTGCTCTTCGCTACTTCCTTGCTCGTGAGCTACAGCAGCGTAGACAGTTGCGGCTTGCGTACGTGGCCTCTGAGGCCAACACTGCTGATGTGTTCACCAAGGCACTCGCGCCTTGTGACCATCAGCGCTTCTGCACCCAGCTGGGTCTTGTGCCTGTCTTGCCTCACTTGCTCTCCTCTTGACTTTACTTGTACTGTCACATATATATACCTGCTCTTGCTTGTCTAGCTTTATATATATATGTGTGTGTACTCCTGCATGTGAACTGGCCTTGTGGCCTTGCTCTTGTGCTCGGACTGTGTGGTGACTTTGTGA